ACTGTCTTGTGGGAGCTTTAGATCATAAGAGAATTTACCTCTACAGGGGCAATTCTTAATTTCTCATTTACTAATAGAATCTGTTCCTTTCAGATTACCAGATATCATTTGGTCCACAGAAGTTTGAAGTGAAACAACATCAGAGTTTTCACCAGGATAGATGCAAATTATAAGATTTTTAATACTAGCTTGGTACTGACATTTCCTTTTGTTTAATTTTTTAATCCAAATTTTCAGAATAAAACTTGTTTGGGACTACAAACAATTTTTCCTATTAATAAGGGCTAGTCAGTGGCATTTTCAGCATCTCTACATTGCAAAATACAGAAATCTGAACTAGGTTTTCACAGGTTTACTCAGACGTGCAGGAGCAAAGTAGCTGCAATAGCACAAAGTTCAGTTGAAGTGAAATCTAATCTACTGAAAAACTGCCTCAGAAGAAGAGTAATTTAGCCTCTCTGGTGTTCCCTGCTACCATGCCTAGACAGCTCTCAGTGCCATGCTAATTAACTTAAAAATGGTTCACCAGAGGTATCTCTGCACTGTATTCTTCAGGAGAAGTATACTAGTAGCACTATGCAAAAACACTTTGCTGAATAAAAATGGGTATACACAGTGACTTGTGATAGTCTTGTACTTGTGCTAAATGAGCATCCTCCAAAAGGACAAATCATACATCTTTCCTGATGTGAATTCTAATTAGATATTAAAGCAGGTTGAAGAAAAGACTGTAGGTAAAGCCTTGCCATGTTTAAAATTCATATGTATGCCAAAAGATTAATTTGATATGAGATATGCAACTATATGTAGACAGAAACACAACCTTTTTCCTATACATTTTTATCTTCAGTAAAAGCCTGGATTGTAAGAGTGAAGAGAAATCTTCAGGTAAATTTTCTATAGCAATCTTAGCTTTATATGCAGATGATTTGCTCTAGTAAAACACTCTGTTACCACAGATTGGAATTAGAAACCAGGAATGACACAAAATGTACTAGAAACCTATGGAAGGCTGGCTCTACAATTGATGAGACAGAGTAGAGATCAAAACTGAAAGCCATTTTCTACTCCAATGCTCAAAATACAAAAAGCAGAAGAAAGACACTTCCACAAAATATCACAAGTAATAAGAGCTCTCATACAAAGAAGAAAACAGGTGTAGAAGAATTAGGCTAAGTTTTAGAAAAATTATAGTTGGCAGAAAAACAACTGAAAGGTATTTCAAGCAGCTCTGGCTTTGGAAATAAAAAATATTTCCAAATGTACATGATGAAGAGTTGTACATATTTTCTTGAAATTTATCTTATTCAGATGTTGATTTGTTCGCTTGTTTACTGGCTGTTCAGTTTAGCCATGTCAAATATCCAGGCATGAAAGTATGATGAATTGTAATAATGGTGATGAGACTGTAAATAAATTACCTTAAATACATTAAAATTAATTTTTAATTAAAGCAAAATACCTGAGAATGTGTAATGCTAAGGGCTTAATATCTACTCATGTACTTGAGTGATTTCCTGACAACTGGTTTGTTGTTGGTTTTTCTTTTTTCAGTAGATATAGGTCCTATAGTTTAGTTTCACCTTTATGATTCATTATAAGTGACTATCAAGTGTTCAATGAAGTTTTCACCTTCCTGATCTTTGTTCCTTAAATTTCAAACGTATATATTAATACAGAAAATAATTTTAGAAACTTTTATTTACAAATAATTGGTATCCACTCGAGAAAGCTGTCTACTTTCTCATGGTGATATTATAATATCATACTAATCTTTTTATATAGAATATGTGTGAAAAATGTTTGGTTGGGCATGTAGATTAAGGAGACAAGAACATATTTTACTCTCTGTATATGTATTGTAACTGAACTATTTTATGCCAAAAGAAAGTAATTTAATGTATTCTGGCATATGTGAACACACAGGAAATTAAATATAAAGTCTCTAGTGATTTTAGAAAAGACAATATTAATTGTAAAAAGGGACAGGAGACCATCTATAAAGGTCTAAAGGAACAAAGGTAGGTTATTTTTTATTCTGTGTAAAGTCTAGTGTAGTTGATTGTTCAAGATAGTCCTCCCATAAAAAAGAACAATAGCTAATGAGGATGGATGTATCACCTAAGCATACAAGAAATGGCTGCAGCAAGAAGAGAATTGTGATGCATGTGGAGGGTTCTTTTTTGTTCACGTCCCTCTTCTATGAAAATGGAGAAAGTTTTTTCTACATTTGCTGAAATGACATTACAGAAACAAATGTTAACCATATTTAAATACTTATATTTTATAGTTTCTTTGTTTTTCCTTTCTTTGTTTATTTTTATTTGAATGGCATTCCCTTAATAATGGTGGAAAATAAATCATTTGTAAGAAAATTAATTTGGTTTAGTTATAATGAAGGGGAGCTAAGAGAGATAAGAAAACTATTTTATAGGGGGACAGAGATTTACTTACTATACAGGCAGTATTATTAGTCACACTGATAGTCAGTGTATATGTTGTTATAAGTAAGTGATGGGGGAAAGTAATACATATAAGAAAATCATACTTTTTATTCTTTGGAGAAATCAAGATATACTGGTTTAATATTGAAAAAATTTTCTCAGTGTTGTTTCTATACACTCAACAACATGAAAGAATAGACAATTTGGCACTAGTCACAGGTGTTTAGTTTGATGTTCACTAAAAAATAAACATTCTGAACAGGCTAGCATTTTTATCTGGAACAGCAAACTTGAAAAGGAGCGGGAGGCTAAACAGTTCAAATTGTTTTGGGACAGTAGAAGGGTTGTTATCAGTTAGAGAATGTATTTTTCTGGCCTAATGATATAAAGAAACTTTCTATCATAAAGCATAGAATATCCTGTCCTTGGAAAGGACCCACAGGGATCATCTAGTACAATGGTTAGCCCTGGACAGGACATCCCAAGAATCACACCATGTACCTGAGAGCATTGTCCAAATGCTTCTTGAACTCAGACAGACTTGGTGCTGTGAACACATCCTTGGGGAGCCTGTTTCAGTGCCCAACCACCCTCTGGGTGAAAAACCTTTTCCTGATATCTAGCCTAAACCTCCCCTGACTTAGCTTCATGCTGTTTCTTTGAGTCCTGTCACTGGTCTCAAGAGTGAAGAGATCAGTATTTGCCCCTTCACTTTCCCTCGTGAGAATGTTGAAGGTTGCAATGAGGTCTCCCCTCAGTCTCCTCTGCTTCAGGCTGAACAAACCAAGAGACCTCAGCAGCCCCTCATAAGGCTTACCCTTCTTGTTAGAAATAATGCAAGAAAAGAGTAAATATAGGAAATAAGAGTTGTGTAGATGGCTATACTGTTAAATAACAAGTACTGTATAGAGTGTGATACACTAGAAGAACAGGATTTTTTTAAGCAGCCTAGAATGTGGAAAGTATTTCTCTACTAAAAATATGCAGACAAACTGCTTCCTTCTGCTCTTGTTTCTAAGCAGTATTATTTATATAAAAATTGTTCTTGATATTGTTTTAATCACAATTACCAATACGGTTAGTACTGTTGATTAAAAAAACAAAAGTAATGTGGCAGTGAAGGAAGTATTACAACTTTATAAACCTCAGAGGTCGTGAGTACAGTGATGATTAAAAATAATACTACCTGTCTGCTTCCGGATTTTGTCCTTCAATTTTGTTAAACAAGATAAGAGAAGTTATAGTTGTTCAGCCTACAACCCATAGCAATCTTTTTTTCATTTAGAATACTATTCAGTGCATTTCTACCTGTTTTGAAGTACTGTAGAAAAACAAAATATATTACTATATTTAGAAAAAAAAAGGGAGGGAAGATTTTGGTGCATAAAAAAAAATAGAAGTGAAGGTTCAAATGCACATCTACTCATGTTCTAGAGATTTAAATCTGGAGTTTCATGAAAACATTCTTCCAGTAACCCTATCTACTGCTTCCATGAGCCTATCCTAAAAACATCAGTGCATTTTTATTCCAAAGAATTTTCAAGAAACAGGAATAGATCATCGTCTTTACTAAAGGCCAAAGTATACATAATCCCTTTGGGAAAGTCAGAGATACAAGAGAAGTGCTAATTTCCATGCATGCTTTGTAAGAGATAGAGGTTTTCATCATCTATTGTGTGTTGACATTATATTGTTTATTTCCCAGTGATAGAAAACACTGTGAACGTGGTGCAAAATAAGGCACTGTCCTTAGACTGTATCTATCCACTTGGAATGCTCATTAATCTTATACTGTTCAGAGAGGACATATCTTTTTGTACTTTTAAACTTTGTGTCGTGCTTAGGCATCAGAGTTATGTCAATTTGTAACAGACTAAAATTCATAGTTGTTCTTAATCATATTCATTTCTGTTACCATCAAGGCCCCTGTATTTGCAATTAATTTCTGATAGCATCACATAGTCAAGATTAATTTACTGCATGTACATTTAATACTTTAAAATAACATGTATTATAAGGTTTTGGCACTTTAAGAAATGAAAACAGTGGCAAAAAGAAATTTAAACATCAAAAGTTTTATTCAGTTTCCCATTTTTTTTTTTTTTTAGTTCTCTGTCTTTTTCTTATTTCATTTATCCTTGTTCAACTTCTCAAAGTTGATCAACACTTTTCTCAATAACCATTCCACCTTCCACTACATCAGTCTCCTTTAGAACATGACTTGAGCTTTATATGAGGACAAAAAGATGAGAGACTGAAGTCTGCCCAGGATCAAAGCCTGGGATATTTGGAATCATAAACGTTTTCCATATATGATGCAGTGACTTATTGACTCTGCCTCTTTCACCATAGAATTTAACATCTTCCTTTCTTTCTAACTCAATACCTGTCTGGATCTACCTGGAAACAGCCCTGATATAACTTTCCAACTTGTGTCTTAGTCAAAACTCTGACAGATCAGCCCAATAGAATGAGTCTGGAGAAAAAAATATTTTTTCTCAAATCCCAAGGTACCTGATGAAAAGAGATTTCTCCTAGGTGGATTGGTCCACCTTCGGCTCCAGGGAAGTCATGGGAATCAAGATCTTTGAAATGAATCTGGAATCTGGAATATTTTGAGTCCACTCCTTCAGTTAATCAAGTGAGAGAAAGGACAAAAAGAAGGAAGACAAAAAATTCTGACATTAATTTCCATTAATAACAATATGTAAGACATATTTTTCTTTATTTTCTGATAAAATCCTGTTAATCTTGTGTTTTGGACAGCTACCATTCATTCTACATATTTTTTATAGTATTTAGCATAATGAAGCTTCATTTAGTCCAAACCATCATTACTGTAAACAAAATTAATGAAAATAGTAAGTGAATATTGCTCAAGAACTTCAAATGTTTTTTTGGTTGGTTTCATTCTCACGAGTCCATTCTTTATGGTCATTATCTGCAAGTAATTCTTCTCACAAAGGAAAGGCCTACAGTTGAAAATTATTCAGATGCCAATTCTGAAAAATTAATTCATAGCCTATAATTATGATGATAATGACACCATGAGTAATCATAAATCACCATTATGACTGCATGATCACTGATTATTGTAGCACCGGGCTTTTGCTTAGTACCCAGTAATATTTTAGGAGCTACATGACAAACTGAAAACATTGGCAAAGTAAACTTTACTGCAATGAGGCTGCTAATTTACATCGCAATGTTTCCTGAAATATTATGTTTTCTTGTTTATCTGTTTTCTTATAAAAGTGTAGCCCCATAGGCTGCTTGTGAATAACCCTCTCTAAATTATTCAAATATGATAGCATCATACATTCTAAGATGGAACTAATTACAAGGATGGACTGGAGTCTTCAATAATCTGGAATATTGTTTTTTAATCTAATTCTGCTGCTGAAATAATTACTCAGAATCAATCACTGTCAGGATTATAGCAATAATCAAATTGGAGTTAGAAGCTGTTGATAATATCTCAGAGTCCAATTTCTCCCCACAATAAGGAGATCAAATCAATCCAGCAACTGAGAATTACATTAGGACTATTCTAAACATAGTTTGCATGCGTCATTTTAAATTTTTGAATCTTGGTTTTATTTTCACTTTATTTGGAATAAATATGTCCATACCAAACTTTAGACAGCATTTTAAAAATAAACCAAATTATTCTCAATTTATCTGAATAGTGGCTTTCACTGCAAGAACTACAACATTCTTTCCACTTCCAGTGCTGGTTTATGTTTCAAAAGGAGGATAACAAAATAGGTCCTGAATGTTTGTTTCTCCTTGACTCCTGAAAGAACACCAAGAAAGGAATCTATCTGTTAAACCAATGATTTTCTAAGTATGTAAATATATTTGATAATCCACTGTTGCTAACAAATATAACAACTATGTATTTAGTTACCTTTATTTTTAAAATTGCAATGAATATTCTGTCTTAAAAGGATATAAAGACATTTATTTGGCTTTGAATTTAAACAAAAAGGAAGATTTGGACTGCATTTTCCAAGGAGAATAACAATTAAAGTATGTATTTGGAAGTTGTCCAAGTTTTTCAGGAGAAAAATAATTACACTTAGTAAACAGAATAGTATTAATTACACCACCCTGCTGAAATCAGACTAGAAGATTGGTTTCATATTTTTTCTCTACTTTATTGGTTGACTGGATTCAGAAGTTAATTCTTCAAGCTCTTTATGTACTCTTCCAATGGCTTTGCATCTTCCGCTGCCCTGTTCTTCTACAAGAAATGAGTTAACAATTCACTATTGCTGACTAATAATATAGGATCATAAGAAAAAGTTATGGGGTCAATTGGAAATCTACCTGAATAGTGTTAGTTTATTTTTTACCAGGGATATTATTGGCAGTTTTGCTGACCTTTGCCTAAGTGAAGCATTTATTGTATGTTGTCTCCTCAAGGAATATTTTCTTTCCACGTAGCAGAGAGGAGATAAAAAAGAACAGGGAAGGAAAAGGGAAAACAAACAAAATAAAGAGATGTTGCAAGAAAGAGAATGGAAGTAAAATATGTAGGAGCAGAGAAGAAGCTGATATATGTAAAGCACAAAACTTAACTCTAGGAAAAAGGAAAAAGATATGTATCTGTCAAGTATATAGGCACAAAAAATACCCCATTATGCTAATTTTCACAAGCCTCAATGCAGTTGCCAGTAGGTGTAGTAGCCCTATTATGCACTTTAAAATCTTATCAGGCATCTGACTCCTCTTTATGAAAGTAAACACTTTGAAAGTGCTATGTAATATCTTAATACAATTTTGAAATTTTTATATTCAAGAAGTCATGGAAAATTGCAAAATTATTCAGACCATATGTCAGCCATATATTCTACAAAATTCTGTTGATTGGTTTTCAGCCAGTTAGTATATTTTTATTCTGGATTTTAACACATTTATATGAATAATTTTGTCAACCTAACTAAAAATATACCTTAATATCATTTAATCAAAGGAAAACATCCTGTTCCTGTCAAACAAACCCAATTTTTTGATGAATCTTAAAATTCCCCTTTACATTTAATTGTCTAGGAAAATTTTTGTATTCTTGATAGTGCCTACAATTCACTTCCTCCAGGCATGACAGCAAAAATACATATATAATGAAGGCTATTATTACTATTATTATTAGCCTAACTTTAATTTATATATTCTAGATTATGGAGTAATACACATAATTCTGTATGACATTCTTACATTTTTAACAAATGTTAAATTGGAACAAATGACATTATATTTACCTCATTTGGATGCTGCATTATATGGGCAGAGACATAAAGGGAGAAATAGGGTTTCAATATAAAAAGAATTGGACTTTTAATATCTACCAAGTTATAAAACCTAGACCTATTTGAAAGTCTGAGATGATGGAAAGTGAGAAGATAGAGGTTGTTAGATTTTAGGCTTTCCTGCTTGTCTTCTGACATTCATTAATTATTCAGTCATATCACATTTATGAGAAAAATTTCATATTCCATATAAAATCATTACACATCTTTTCTCAAGGCAAATAGACTTTCACAGACAGAAGGTTGAATGAATACACAAATGGCAGATGAATTCTTAGGGTTCTTTGAAAAAGTGTGTTTCTAAAAACAACAAATGTAAAACCTCCAAACTTTACTGGGAAAATGTTGCGAGGCTGAAGACCAGTTTTTACATAATGGACATTGCTCAAACTGCCTGAGAGAAGTGTCTTTGACTTCATAATTTCTTTGATGGATAGTGCAAGCCATATACAAACAAAATTCTCCACTGAAAACAATGAAAATTTTGCTGCAAATCTCATGAGAGCAACAAGAATCTGTGATGTCTGTCCTTTTTTTATTTCATTTGTCTCCTCTACTTTACTTTGTATGTGAGCAAGGATTACCAGTAAAAATCCCAAAATATATAAAATTTACTTCTCAGTTGTGCTCTAATCAGGACTTTTTCTCTAGACTCCCCCCTCTCGTTCTGGCTGGCATGACCTGACCTCAGCAAGGATTCAAGTAGATCCATGGGACTCAGGCACTTGTCTTGCTGCATCATGGCAGCAGTGATTCTGATATTCCTTTCATCCTGTAGTACTAACACGCTGTTACCCTACTGTACCCACCCAGGGTGCAGGCCATCCGTAGTCACCGGGCCAAAGGACTTTTTGATGACACCATAACAATGAATTGCAATGCCTGGTTCCACATGCCCTTTACAAGTGTAAACTGATGTCTTAACTCATCACCACATCATCTTGATCTGCCTTACTTGCCCCGTTAACGGCACCAGAGAGTCTTCAGCAGGAACATACGTGTGTGTCTGCACCTTTCGTGGCTGTAGACCAGGGTCTGAGCACTGACCCAGTCAGCATTTTTCACTTGTAATAGAATCTCATTCCCTGAAAGTACAACCCCCTAGGTAGCTGGAAGTCACCTCCAGCTGACTGCTGTCTCCCTGAGCTGCTGTAAAGCAGCACACTACCAGGAGGCTCTGTGCCTTCTTATATTGCCTCTTCACTGACCTCTTCCAAAGCAGAAAATTGAAGGAGAGGAAAGAATGATCAGAGCCTGGTTTAACCCTGTTTTCTGTCCCAGGAGGTCCCTGAAGGACACCTGGGAAGGCAGAGAGGCAACAGTACTGCTCTGCTCAGTGGGTCTAATTGGAAGTTAAGCTAAAACAGTAAGTAGAAAGTTATTCAATTCCCACTTTTAAGTGTCATTATCTTGTGTCTTCATTCTCACAAAATAAGTATTGTTACTGAGCCAAGCCAGAAATTCATCATGTATTTAAAGCAACAGCATCCAAAATGCCAGTTCATAAGTCAAATTATGTTTCTGTGGTTTTTGTTTTCTTTAACCACGGCACTCCAGCCATTTTTTCTATCTCAGATGACACTGGAAAGGTTTTATATCAGTTCAAGAGAAAGAAACTTCTCTTTGATGACACTATAGGTTTGAAACACAGCTTTACCCTCTTAAGTCCAAGTTGGAGTTATATCCAAACTAGGAACACTTTGAAGACAACAAATCATAGCCCAGGGCCCAGTTTCTGCACTGGATAAGACTTAATCAGGCAGCTGCTTCTGCTGACATCACACGTTGCCCATACTGTGCAGGGTTACACATGGCTAGGTACAAATTACAAAGACAGGAGGCAAAGAACTGGCTCCACAGTCACTGTTCCCTTAGAGCTTTTGTTTACTCCTTGAGTAGTACACCAGGTAAAGCAGAATTTCTTATAAACAATTCGATCTAGTTGTCTCCTCAAACTGGGATATTATAAAATAAAACAAAAAGAAAATTCCTCCCCCCATAAATATTCCAGTATGTATTCAAACAAATACTGTTTCAGTAAAGCTCCAACATTTTCTACAAGTTCAGCTTACCCCTTTCTGTTAACCTGTAGCTGAAATCAGACAAGAATTCACAGTAAAAGTGTCATATAATAAACCAATATTATTTCTCTATCGACATAAAACCAAAACATTTTAATTATTTTCTGGAAAAAAACTCCAGTGCAATTGATGCAGATATGTTGAGTTTATTGAATACATGAACCTTTTCCCACTGTAAAATTGTTTCAGAAGAGGACTTTCTAAAAATTGTTTAAAACAGTTCTCTGAAAACAAATTACTGCTAGCTGTGCAGCTAGGACTAATTCAGGGCAAGGGATGTACTTCAAAACCTTGTGATACGTTCTTAACTTTTTGTAAGTTAAAATGGGAATAATCCTTAGAACTGACAATTTTAATATATGTAACTGGGCAGCTCTGCCTTTTATATTTGCATTTATGTTTCTGTATTGATAACAATAATCACAGGTAACTCTCTGAACACTGGGAGTACTTCATGGTTGGAGACCATAAAAGAACTTTGAAACAGGTCAATGCTTCATATGCAGCACATGCACAAGGTGTTGAACTCATAAGGCAGTATTCAGAAGAACAAATAAGTTTACACAGACAAGATGTGTTTTCACACTCCCACATCTCAGTGAAAAAGATACTCTGAGACAGTTATTAGCTTGGACTGTGGACCCAGGCTGGCTGACATGTCAGTTCCAGCATAAGGGTGTCTCTGCTCCTCACTCATCAGAATTCTTTTTCTGGAATCTGCATGGTCATGGTGAAGATACATTCTCTGTCAATTAGTTTTTCTTTGATTTTGGATACCTGAGTGGTTGCTACCCGGGAAATCAAAAGCAACTCAGACTTGGCAATCTGCACATCTGTGATTGACACTTTCTTACTTTAATCTTCTGTGTGTATGAATGGAACCAAGTTTTAAAAGACATAGTAGGCTCTGAAGGCAGTAGACCATCTGTGTAAACCATGAGAGCTGCCAACAGCAGAGTACCCCTCCTGTGCTCTGTTTTTTAAATAGGTTCCTTGGGGAATAGCAGCTGAGATTTACAACGCCTCAAAGCAGTCTAAGAATCAAAGAAATGGGATGCCCAGTAGTGTGATGCAAATTCCTTAGGCTTTGGTGCTAGGTAGCATGGAGATGATGATGATGGTGACAGTACACTAATGAGGACAATGATGTTGTAGGCTGGGTAAGTTAACTAGAATTCCTTAATTAAAGGTGTCCAAAGCATACAACTAGTTTGTCTTGTCTAATTTACTTTCTGATGGTTCATATTTGGCTATTTACCTTATCCTTTTAAGACTTTTTATCCCTTACCTTACCTAGAATCTTGAAAATCCATGCTAACTGACATGAAATAATTTTATGCCCGTGTTTTCTACAACCTTGGCCTTTCCTCATGACAAAAATCTACATAATATTTGAAAGCTAAGCTACAATGTCTTTCAATGTTTAGTCAATTTCCAAAGTGTAAAACTCCTCTTTTTAAACAAAACATTCTTCAGAGTTCATGAATCTCTGAGTCTGAGAAAACGTGATGAATTTGTAACTTATCAAATTTTCCATTTTTCATGGACAGCATGTAAAACCGGGGAAAATCCAGCAGTTCTGACAGAATTTTACTGAGACAATAGAAAACCCAAATTTAAATTAGCAGATGTTTTTCTAAGTGTATCAAAACTGAATAAATGCTTGTACGGACCCCTGCAAAGCAATACTATCAAGCTTCACATTATTTCAAGGCAATACAGTTTACTGTAATGAAAAACACAGTTAATACTTCCAAATTTCCAAGACCCGTCTTACCATATGTTCAAAGATATATTCACTCTCTTCTAATAGTTTTACACTTTCAAAGGACATGGAAGCATACTTTCCACTAAGTATTTTATATATATATATATATATATACACAAAATTATACTGTTTCTACCAGATGAAAGAAAGCATATTCTAAGAACAAAACACAAAAGCCTAACAAAGACGCCTATGTGAACCTATTTGTGTTTTCATATATTTTTTGTCACTGATACTTCGATCTCAGTGTCACTGTAGTACCATTAGCAAAACTCTCATTTATATATGAAAATAAATCAAGACTCCTTTTGTTAGCAAACACTGTACTGATTCTCAAAAAACACAATACATCCAGATATTCAGACATAAGCATATCTTAAGGGAATTGTTAATTAGAATTGTATTTTTTCTTATATCTGCTATTCAGAGATGACATGATGGAACAACTTTGTAGGACAGCTTAGAAAGAGGAACAAGAAAGGGTTTCACATGATTTTACCAAAGTTTTGTTAAGGTTTTTTTATTAAAACAATTAATATGTTACGTTGAATAAACGCATTTTCAGTGAAGCAAGACTAATAAAAAAAAAGAAAACAAAAAAAAAATTTTTCATTTTACATCAAAACATTCCTATCATTTTGTAAATGCCTTCCATGAACTCATCAGCTCCAGCAAGTTTGGAAGCAATTTAAATTCCTCCATTGCTAAGCCTTTCCAAATCTTCCTTTTTTGATTAGGAAACTATTTCTAATTTCTAGGTTAAATTTATAGATTTGTATCCATTTAATTTTCTGAAAGTACTATCCTTCAGTGTTTATGACTTTACATTTATTTACTGAATGTATTTATGAAAAATAATAATACCCTTCTCAACTTTTATATTGCTAACCTGAATAAATGAATTCCCTTTAATCTCTTTATGTATGATAAGTCCTTTACTTCCTCTGGTTATACAAGGAGTCCTCCTTTACTCCTGTTCCAGTCTCAGAGGATTTTGTTAGTTTGTTTTAAACACAGATTGCTTAACAGAATATTACTGTATTCCAAATATGCCCTTACTAAAAGCCTTGAAAAGCAGCTACACAGTGCCTGGCATATTTCTCCTGGAAATATCCACACTATGTATTGTAAAAATGCCACCTTTTTCCATAGCTGAAGTTTAACAACCATTTTGCTCATTTAGATTTGCTTAAAACAAATGTTATGCTATCCATTCAACATACATGATCTTGTACTGATATTATTGCTATCCATCCTTTGAATATATACCATCTGATATCCTTGTCTTTCTCCACTGTGGTAGTTAGGCTTGGATGGGTATAAAATCTACTTTTCTACATCATCAAGCTCATTAAAGAAAAATTTTGAACACAGATTATGAAAAAAAAAGACATCCAGAGAAAATAAGTGGTTGATCCCCTTCCTCTGTAATTAGTACCAATGAATTATCATCTTTCTCTTATCCAGCTTTTTATTCAACACACAATAAACTATGTGCACCCAGCTGTCTTCACTTCAATAATTACTTGTGGGCACTAACTCAAAAGCATTTCCTTAAACATTGCTATACAAAGTTAACAAATTCACCATTTTCAAAGGAATGAGTTATCTCAATAGGCATTTGTTAGAAATTACCCATAATAAAACCATTGTAAATTTTACTTTACAATCTGTTTATACCTCCCTCCTTTACATAGCAGTCTCAGATGTATACCTGCAATGAACAGGTATTTCCCAGACTACCCCTCCACCACATCCTTTTTCAAAAGTAGATTTATTTGTAGCTTTCAATGTCCTAAGTTCAGGTTCTCTCTTAAAAAACAAATCAAAATCATTACTACTCGGTTTGCAAATTCATTTTTCAATTGTTTTAGTAATTTTAAAAGGTTAGATTTTAACAAATTAGTAGTCCAAATATTGTTTTAACAGAATCTCAAAATCAAAGC